ACTTCACGGAGAATGATATCCTTCGAGAGAGGTCACACGCGGATGATGCTACAGGGTCACAGGTCATCGTTCCATCGAAGCCTCCCCGCGTACGCCATAGTGCACTGTCATAATTTCAGCTTGACTTGTGGTGTAGATGCAAGTAGCTCTTGAGAAGAAGCTTTCTAAACCGCTTAGTTTCAGGCGAGAATGCAGTTATTACATTTGTTTATTAAGTCAACCTTGTTGATGCTGTGATGTACAATGCCTTTTTCAATCGTTCTTCATCTTGTAATTCTTGGCAAATATTGTTTAGAAATAATCCATTTTGCAGGAATAATTACATCATGCACAATTTCGTGCTTAAAAGTAAGCCCTACCTATCTCGAGAATTATACACCTTCTCGGTTCTTGAATTTTACATCAATGATTTTATGAAAGAATACCTTGGCAGTTTAAGAAAATTAGCTTCCTAACCCAAATTTTTTAACAGTTGGAATATAAAGAAATGAACAAGATTGCATCGATAAAACCTCGTTGCTAGGAAGGTAAACCCGCGCGTTTTACCTTCTCTTCCCCGCTTTAGAGCGGCAACGATGACGTTCTCTTTCGGCCATTTCCGGAGGGAGGAAGAGAGCCCGCACACAGCTTTATTAAGCGCTCAAAATGAAAGAGGGAACGCGTGCCTGTACCTTCCGCTGCATTGCCAAGAAAAGTTGTCGCGGAGTATAGTCTACGAGGTGCTGCCTAACCCCCGCTCTAAGCCTACACTCTAAGAAAAAAGGGAGGAGAAAGGTAGCAAAAGCGACTGTTCCTCCTTGTTGCGGACAAGTTGCCCAGAGAAGGGAGGAACGGCAGTTCAGATGAAAGGAGAAGGGCGAGTTCCTCCTTGTTCAGTTGGCGCAGGGGTAGAACATCGCGCTACTGACTAGGTGGTCAACGGTTCGATCCCCAAAAGAGTTTTTTTTTTGTAAAGTTTTTTTTAATTATTTTTGTTTACCAAAACACACATAAACAAACCCAGACCGATGAAAGGAAAATTAAAGTCCTTATTATTCTCCGAGACGTTTTCCTCCTCCAGGCAGACCGGAGAAAGCTTTCGCCCTCCCGACCCATCTTCTTTCGATTTCGTTTTTCGAGCACATCGCGCACGTTGTTTAATAAATTAATGTTGAGTTGATTGAGCTTCAGCGGCAGCGAAGGCCGCCTGTAATTCCGTCTTCTAGTCCAAACGTGCAGGACATTTCGGTTGCATTGACGTTTTTACCACTAATTTTATCAAACGAGCTAACGAAGCCGCTAGAAACAGCGAAGTTCCGGAGCAGTGCCAGCAGCGCTACATACACTGGGTAAGACGGCCGTCTCCAATTTGCGGGACACATGCGGAACTACAGCAGCGAAACCACGAGGAACTGTTTCGACGTTTTCGACGTTATGGAAATCGCGGGAACTGCGTCCAAGGAAGGCAAGTTTTACTGCCGGCTGCCTGGGTGCCTTCCGTGCTGAGTTCGGTTCCGTTGTCCCGTGCCGAGTGCCAACCGGCGTTCAACGTGATTCTTCTGCGTGTCAGCAACATCGTCAACGTGATTCTGTATTTCTTCGTGTCAGCGACATCGTGATGGCAGTGTTGTGGGTTGTGAACAGAAGGCTGGAATTATCGCCGATGTGACCGTGCGTTCGCGTATCAGTGGTGTAACAACAAGATGAGATGACGTAAACTGTCGGGCATTGATGCCGCTGGTCGGGCCGTTATCGGAGGGGCCGGGGTGTCGCAGGATGACATCCCGCTTTACATTAAAGAGTTTAAAACCACTTGAGGGATTAGGTGCAGTCGATCGACGTGTGGATAGTCATGTTGGAACGCTGGTCTGAACGGTAAGCTCCTATCGTACAGTGGCCAATGTGACTGTCGGTCCCCGAGAGCGATTGCGCTCTGGGGAAAAGACAACACTACGAAAGTATGACGGAAAGTACGTATATTTATAATGGAAGTTTAGCATAAAAAAAAAGACAGGCAAAATCAAAAAAAAAAAAAAAACGCTATCCTTTATTTTACTGTTTAAATATATTACGGTTCCTGTAGAAACTGCCCTCTAAGTGGCGCGCTGGGATGAGCGCTAGACGTTTTCGAGCTCGCAACGGCGCAGCTCCGTATACTTAACAGTTGTCGCAAGTCGCGGCTTTGACTGCATTCAAGTTGATCGAAAAGCGATTTCTGTGCCCGTGAAGCATCACTTCCAGCTGAGTGGGTATCCGCTCTACAGAGATTAACTCAAGACGGCAATTGCAGTTTTGCGCGAACAGCACAAATAGAAAAACGAACACTACAATATAAATACTGCATGGCTACGAAGGGCCATGCGGGAAAACAAACTCATGGCTTGGAACCACATTGGAGCGGCTCGATTTATTGGCTTTCAAATAATTATGGCATGATCGAGCGTCTTCTTTTTAATAAGAGATTCATCCCCTGAGCAATTAAAAATAGCCTCAGATGTATGACATTGCTGGAAAAAAATGAACATGTTCGGAATATTTGTTTTTGCTTAAAGAGTCACCGAAAAATTCCGTTCGTTCAAAACGACCACTATAAAAGACGGAAACGCAGGGCACGGTAGTAGTGATCGGGGTAGTGTGACGTTGTATTGATGTTTGTATGTGCGATGCCTGTGTATGCGTTCAATATATGTTGACCCGATGTATGTAGTGTGCGCAACGTGTCTACATGTGCTAGAGATTCTGAAAAAAAGGAAAGGCAATTGTGGCGTAAGGAAAAATATTTTTTGCAAAACATGAATTGGGCGGTACCTAGCGCCACCTAGCCTAGCTACGTGCGATTACTCTGCTTGACCCTGCGATCTGGTGGTAACACGCCATAATTTCGTGTTACCGTGCTGAGATAAGCCAAGAGGTTCCTTCGGATTTGCTTTTTTTTTTTTTTTTGAAAGCGGCTTTTGGTTTTGCGGGCGAATGATTTTCACTCCTCCGTGATGTGCGGTTGACGCAACGGTTGACGAAGGAATTGTGGCTCGAGGAATAGCAAAGGTAGGACATAAAGTCCGCGAACTGAGTGCCGGTTGTCTCCGTTGAACATCGCGGTGCTGACGATGAGAAGACTGAGTGACTGCATGCTTTCGAAACGTAAGTTTCTTTACCTGCAGGGGTAAAGAAACTTCGGAAATAAATACAGTTCGCGGAAAGCTCGTGTTACGTTTTTATTTCCTGCTCCTCTCGCTTCGTGCAATAGACTTAGTGTTCCCTGTTAAGCCTTACCGAGCTCGATTTGCTCGATTCGTGGCCGCCATAATGAGATGCAGTCGACGGAGGAACTTTTCCTCCCCTGCTTAAGGGAGGAAAGTTTCTCCCTTTCTGAAGGAACATATGTGTCAAGAGCGTTCCTCCCTTTAGGGAGGACTATACTGACCCTTTTTCCTAAGAGTGTAAGGTAAGCAACAAGAAGGGGCGGCCGACATCATAGAAACAAATCTCGCGCCTCCTCGCTGCAGACGCGACACTCTGAAAGCAATTTAGAGGATTGCCGCCGGTGGCGCTACAAGTGCAAAAACACCTGGTTAATTTACCGCTCTGTCGAATTTCCTTCGGTGAATTTGACGCAAGTGAATATGCACCATCGTAAGGGACGCAAGGAGTTAGACAAAAAGATAGCGTTTCAGCCCAAAAGAAATGGACAATGCCACCTCACCCCGCATTAACATGCTACGCCGTGACTAAGCACCTTATAGTTTCAAGATAAAGTGTCCAATAGCAGATGAAACAAAATATTGGCACGTTTTCTTAATCGTTTTAAGAAAAAAAAAAACTAAACAAAAGAAAACTTTCAACTGCAGTAGCGGAGGCCGATGAGAAAAGCAGCTAGAGTAAAGCCCGGTTCTCAAACCGATTTAAGGTTGTAGCCCTCGGCAACACAAGCAACTTGATGCTTCCTGTACACGCTGCGGGAGGAAGGCGTCCGGTTCGGAATGGATGGATGCGCAACACGGTATACAGGATGTTTCACTTAGCTTGTGCCAAGACTTTGGAAAAAAGCTGGTGCACGCTACGCTTGTTGAACCAATACAGTAGTGTTCATAGTCCTCTCGTGCAACTCCAGATATTTCTTGTGATATGCTAAGATCGCTGATTAATATCAGATAACTGTCAAACTCTTAATTTGCGCACAAATCCCCCTATACACAAGTGTTAGAGTGAGTTGAGCAATATCCTATCCTGTCATTTACATAAATGTAGAAATTGTGTGCCGAATTTTTTTTTATCTTTCAACAACTGCTCGAAGATCTTGCGCGATATTAATAGCATTAGACGTAATTACCAACTGTTGATCTGCAATGCATTTGCCATTAACTACGTAAAAAAACAAAAAAAAAAACCGGATGTAATTTTATTGCTTTAAAACATTAGACACGAAAGGGCTACCTTAGTAAAAAACGACACTATCGGATGGTTCTCAACGCTCACTACTCTATTAAAAAACGTACAAGAAACATACCTGCTGTCTGTACGGTTGCTTGTACACCCGTGAGCGATATGAAGGTGAGCAGCCCCCTTCTTGTTTTTGACACTCCTCCAAGTTTTGGAACAAGCTATATTCCAGAAGAGGACTGGAACGCAAAGTTTAGACCCCCAAGCCACGTACCATTTGAGACGTTCAGAGTTGATATAGCTTTAGGAAGCCGTAAAAGAGGCAAGAAACCAGGTAAGGTGTCCACCTTCATATTGCCGGCGGGTGTAGAGTTGCATAAAAATAACTTGACTTACTCAATTGAACAATTCCGGGTTTGTTTGAAACGCGTAGCGCGCATAGTGCTTTTTTAAAGACTCGGCGCAATTCAGCTGAAACACCCCGTATATATTTTTGTGTTCTTTGCTATCAGAACCAAATGAAATCGGTGGTTTCCCCAATTCATTTTATTTCTAGAGATGCAGGCCCCGACACGTTGGCAGATTTTTTGAATGTCAAGTGTGCATATATGCGGCTGTTTCCTCACCCCCCGAAGTGCAATTGAGGATCACGAGTGATAATTGTAGAAACTTCACACGTATTGCCCCGTTAGTGAGGCATTGCAGGTTACCGGATTGTAAACTCTAAACACGGGGGCCCCGCAGGTTATCATAAAGGCGAGAATGCAGTCGAGGGAAATTCGTTTCCATACGACATCTTGAAACCATCTTTCAATGTCATCTTGTACGTAATCTGTTAGTTCTTCTATTTGATAATGTTGCGCAGTACAGTTTTCAAAAATTCCAAGTTTTTTCTTATACTCCTCAATCAGTTCCTCTTCTTTTCTTATAATCTCGTCTTTCAGGTCCTCCACTATGCTTTTCAACTCGGTTTTTCTCAGCCACAAGTCGCATCCTATAAAAGCGAGGAGATACCAATTAATTGAGAAAAGATTGCACAGACAGTTTTGGGCGAATGGGGAAGTACTGAAACCTGCGGAAGCAGGTGACTCCAAATGAAAAAGAAAATCAGTGGCAGCACGGAGGAGTTGGTGAAAGTTAATACATTGATGTCTTGTTAATATGGACACCTCCGTTCTCCCCAAAAGATTGTCCATAATGCGAGTTGTTCATAATAACGAGACAAAAATGCATGTATTTTCTAAAGTTGTTCCAGAAAATGGTGTCGATATATCGGGATATCTATATTAACGGGGTTCATATTAACGGGACATGACTGTAATGTAAAATACAAATTTCATTTTTCAGACCGCGCTTGTTCTAAGTACTTACTGCTTTCTGTCTGTGTCTTTTTTCACTTTTTGTTTTGTTAATCAAGTTCTAATATTAACCCTTACTAATGGTAAACAAAATTTATATTGGTAAAGTTTTTTGTTTTTTTTTTGTCTTCAAACCCCAGATTTTCGTCGCTTCACTACACGATAAAAAAATGAATATCTCATTTAATGGGTATAATTTGTTTGTTAAACGAAAAAGGCAGGAACAGGCATTGAATAATTTTGTTTTATATTTAGAGCTCAGCTGCCTATTCTGACACAGCATTTCGTAACTATCCCTGTTATATTCCTTGAAAACATCATTTTAAAGATATTTGTTCAGATATTTATTTGTCTTGTGTCCAGAAACAGTCGATGCCTTAGTACTGGTACACATTCATACGCACACATACATTTTCACGAGGAAAAAAAAAACACAAAATAAAAGAACATACAAAAAAAAACGAACATGATGTTAGTAAATCTGGATCATTAGTACACTTTTAAACTCTTGCTCACTTCCAAAAATGTCAACCGCTGCACTCAGTGCATTCCACTTGCTCTGAATTCGTAAAATGAGGCCGATGAAAACATATCTTTCACGTAGAACGTATTCTGGAGACAGCAGAAAAACAAGTCTAGGGCAACGGTTTCCGTTATGTACAGTTTTATGCAAAAATGCATAATCTCGAAGTTTTGCCCAAGTAACATAGACTCCTACCTAAAAAAAAGGACCGGCGGTTGTAATAACGGTCGTACACAATGCGTGCCAACTTTCTCTGCACACGTTCTAGGTTCTCACAGCTGGTTACTCCCATACAGTTCCAAACTGCAGCATCAAACTCTAGTCACGAACGCAAAATAGTAGTGTAAAGTCTGACGAGACATGAACGCTCTCAAAATAACGGGTTAAGAAGTGTCCGAACAGGTTCATAATTAATTACAGCGCGACTGGGACAAGGACAGTCCCAGTCGCGCTGTAATTAATTATGAACTCTTACCAACTCGCCCAATTGTCCATTTTGCTATGTCCGAACAGGATATTTCGGAACGTGTGAAGCGATACTTGTCCGCCATTTGACGCGAAAGTTGAAGTCCGGCAGTCCGTCTTCACCACGGCCTTACCTCTTCTGCTTTTTTCTTACGTCATAACTCTCCATCTGTTCTGCCGCGCCTACGTATCCTCCCCTTTGCCATATTTGGAAATAGACTTGAACAACAGCGGAAGCCTTGAGCATTTGGCTGACAGCCAACAGAGCGTGTGAGTGGTTGTCTGGACCCACGTGATGAGCATGGACTATGGCTCCGTCAAGCACAGAAGCGGACAGTAGCGAAGAAAAGTTTTAACGGACAGAAGGAGATGGTCTTACGCGGAGAAGTGCCGCATCACGTGTTCTTGAAGTGTCCTGTTTGGACATCCCTTCATACACGAAAACAAACCTAAAAGTCCCATGCATAAACTAACCGACTTTTAGCCATGAGGTCATAAAAATTGCAGCCGACTGCGCGTTATTTGTTCTCGGAAAATGCGCGTCAAACCGAGACGCTGCCGGCAAGCAAGATGATAATTTTTTGACCGCCACTTTCGATCGCTCCCCAGACCGGACTCGGGAGCTCCAAAGTAGTTTGAGACGTCAAAATAATAGCAAAAATATGTTGACGAGAGACGCCAAAATGCTTTCTGAAAATACTTTCACGTATTGAGGAAGTGGCGTCACGGATATAAAAAGATTAAAAAATATTTTGAAAGTGAACACCGACATAGTCACTTCCTTTACCTTACACATATAGTACGTGTCTACGTACGAGTCTAAATCAAATCAAAGCAAAATATATCATTGGTAATAAGCAGCCCGCTTCATTCTAGAATCCTCTGTTAAGCAAGCTTGATTTGGCTATTTCTTCTTCCGTTATTAAGCAAACTGTACTACTATCTTTACTACCTAAATGAGTGAAAAAAAGAAAGTGTGACATTAACATCAATAAAGTTTTAATAACCTTACCTCCCCAGGCTGCGGGACTCCTGAGAGCGTAACATTGCGGCTCGTTGTATACCACATACATGTCCATATACTGAGGATTTTCCGGGAAGCGGAACAACTTTTTTAGAATATCTTCATTTAAATCATTATAGTCTAGTGTACTCAGCTGAGGTTTTGCAGCGTCCCCTGCGTGGAAAAATTGTTTCTGCAGTGAAAATTGTAGGTACCACCAACAAAAAATGCTCCACGTTTGGCGAGCACGAAACCTAAACTTACCCCTGTCAGGGAAGGGGGTACTCCTGGAATAGCAGGTGGAGTTATCATACTCAGCGTACGTGTAGCTTCCTGGGGGTAGTGGAGTAGCACTTGGGAGTGTTCCTGGTTTGGGGGGCAAAAATAATTTATCGCACTTTTACAATAGTTTAGACGATTAGGCAGCTGAAATCATTCCAGGCTGCACGCTAATCCTGACCTGAGAGTGAAGCGAAGCAGTAAAATAACTAATTAAAATTATGCACGTTACTGTAACTAGTAACATGTTTTGTAACTAAATAAGTTAAAATACAATGTTCGTAACTATAACGGTAACTTGGTGATAGCTTGTAACTTGGCATAGTTACAGTATCTTTAAGAAATTTCACTTTTCAGCGTCATCGCCGAGCACTTGAAATCTGTAGAAGCACCTGTTGGTGAGAGTGCTTGAATTTCATTACTATATTCGTCTTCGATGACCCTTGAATTTTGTTAAATGTGAGGGAAAAATATGGAGCCTGACTTAATTGCAAATGACATAAATTAGCATTGTGTTCGTGGTCTGCACTTTTGGAATTAAAGCAAACACTTAGCACTTTAGGAAATTTAACTCGTGAGACGATCGTCTGAAACAGGCTAACATATAACCGCAGTGTGGTAAATAGAGCAAGTAACATGATGTTGAACGAAACCCGCTAAAGCTTCTTCGCTGCAGGTACCTTTCTAAGTAAAATAAAATGGCAAAGAGTATTTAGATCCAAATAGAACGAGTCTGAACAAATGTTAAAGCAAGGGTGCCAGTGAGCTCCTGAAGAGCTGACATGATTAGCCCTGGAGAGTTGGGAAACAGAGGGACAGGACACACGAATCTCCAAGCACAGCTGAAGTTTATTTTACGAAACACAACCTTAAATTCACAACCAAGAGAAGAAAAAAAAAGCGAACAGACCAAAAGGAGACATCGAGGACAGCGATGACGTCACACGTACCTAACCAGGATACACGTACCCAAAGAGGGTACACATCAAGGCACAGCGCGAACACGACATCGGCACATTTTCGCATTTTACTTCTAAATAGTATTACCGACCAGGAAATTTTATCGCTTACAATATAGAACTGAATGAGCTCTTTCTGTTGCAATAATGTCTTGGATGACATCCCTTAGCTTCCAAGAGAAAAACTGGAAAAACCGGCGATCGCTTGTTTGCGCTAACAGTGTCGCGCTCTGTACACATAAACCCCAAGCCAAATTCCGGAACTAAAAGACGATAGATTTTACCGTACTACGGATAGAAACTGAGGACATAGTCCAAGTGCACAACCGAACGATCAATAAGCGATAAAATAAATGAGGTAATCCAAGTACTAATACGAGAAAAAGAAAACGGTTCTAGATTAAGAAACGCTTTCATGTTATTATCTAGAAAAGTATCATGTCGCTAAAACAACTAGCGTGCACATCGATCATCAATGACTATTTCTCTAAACGTTTGTAACAATCCTTTTTTGTGTGTGTGGAACACTTCAGTATTTTTCCAAACAACGAAACAATTTCTACAGGAGGTGAGGTTATTTGCTAATTTTGAACTTCTGGATTTGTTTTTACAGCTCGTTGGTGTTCAATTAACCTGCGATTAAGACACTTCTAGCCCACATAGCAAGAACCACACCTCACAGGAATCTTGTACGTTACGCACACACTGCAATAGACTGCAAGGTCCTTTATTTTTGTTACAGTCTGCCTTCTGTCACAAAAAAGGCGTAAGCCGGTCGAGCTGAAAATCAGGTTTAAAAACAGCTATAATACTTAAAAAACAAGCGAGCTCGTGACGATTCATGGTAATAAAACCCGAGACTCAGGAACACAGAAGGGGACGAACACAAGACAGCACAACACAACACACCACGTTGTGGTGTGTTCGTCCCCTTCTGTGTTCCTGAGTCACGGGTTTTATTACCATAAAAACAGCTGTCGCACCAAACGTTCCTGCTAGCGGCTTAAGGTGATGGGAGACATAAAATTAATACAAACAAGGAACCCTACTTTTTTCTACTCGTACGTGTTTCGTTAAGTTAGAATTTGTCATCAAACGAAGAATGACCGAAGATCCGAACTCCCTGCTGTAGTCAGCTAAGAACCATATACGAAGCTGATTTTTCAAACCGGCGCCCAAACGGTTAGAACAAGGAAACTTGGTGAGTTCGTTAGCACAGACCTGGTAACACCCCACTTTACTGAATGAGAACTTAACCTAAAGTGCAGTGGCTTCACCCTCTGTTAAAATGTCAGCTCTCAACACATATGTTTTTGAAAACTAAATTGAGCGTCGGCAATTAAATCACTTATGGCCATACGTCACGCGATAGTTTACAAGGAACTGCAACGTGAAAAGGAGCCTCCGGGCCTTAAGCAGAGTGGCAACGACGTTTTAATAGAGGCCTGGATCTTCTTCTTCAATATGTGTTAAAAATAATAGAGTGACGACTGGTGTGTTTAGCGTTCTAGTTCGCCCACACATGCAAAGTGGTGCCGAAGTCGCAACAAATGACGTCACAGAAGCCGGAGTGTCCTGCTGTCATATGTCGCGATCGCGGCGGTTTACCGTAGAAATGCTGCACATCCGAACGCGAGTGCCTCTGTTGTGGCGGCGTCCCAACTTCTCGCTGCCGAAGCTTCCGTTAACTGGTACACTGAAGGGCCACCTGGAGAAGAACAGGCGTCCGCCACACACCCCCACCGCTGCTGGGACGCCACCAGGATCGCGACTGGCGACAGCTTGACACTTGTATGACGTCATCAAGCGGAAATCTAGGGACAACATTTTTGGACGTTGTAAGCACTGCATTCGGAGACGCGTTCCAGACACCGTAGTGTCACTGGATACCCAGTGAAACGGCGAGTCTGCTGCTCTGCTGAGGCTTACCGGAGACTCTTTTTCACCCCCCTGCTTGCTTAGAACCCATGGGCACTTCGGACGAAGTGCCTTCGATGTAACTTAGTTAAATGTTTTTTAAGCTACCTTTAACGAGTTGCAATTTTAAGTGTGTAATTGTATCTTAACTCCATTTCAGGTGAGGTAACTGCAACTGTAACTTAATTAGTTTTCATAAATAACTTTTACAGCTCTGCAGTAAAGCTATGTCGGTCGATAGTGTCACCAATATAGGCTAATATTAGCAGATGCCACGAGACATTCGCGTTGCCAGGGGAGGGGCTTATGGGGCTTCAGACTCCCCCCACCGCAACGTTCAGCCGACCAATAATATACATATGTCTTGACGGTCCCCCCCCCCCTCCGCCTCCAAGTCATGGACACCCGAGCAATCTCAGCACCCCTCAGAAAAACCTTTCTGGCTACGTCATTGCTGCCAGATGCAAATCTGGAAACTTCCAAGCAGAGGTCGGCATTTTAAGTCGCCCTCACTCACCCTCCCCCTCACAGCCACACTCACCTAAGCCCGTCACTCACCTTTAACCTCACAAGTACACTCACCTTCATCCACTCACTCACCCTCATCCTCACAGTCACACTGACCTTCAGCCCTTCGCTCAACCTCATTGGACCTCACGGCCCTCACGTCCCTCACGCCACTCACACACTCACCGCCCTCATGCACTCATGGCCCTCACGCACTCACCACCCTCAAGCACTCATGACCCTCACGCCCCTCAAGGCCTTCACGCACTCATAGCCTTCACGCACTCACAGCCCTCACAGCCCTCACGGCCTCCGTCACCCTCACACACATGAATTTTCCTGGTTCAGAAAATCACTCACCCTCACCTCACTTGTGAAGACGAGGGTGAGTGAGGGTGAGTGGGGGCCCTCATGAGTGAGGTTTCCCGGGGTATGCTTCCAAGCCCCAGCCGTGTCTGCCCGTGGGGACCCAATACAAAACCGCATTGATTGCCTTTATTAACCCGCGTTTGCTACAACAACCTACCTAATATTTCGAGCACTTCTTTCTTAATAAAAATCCTTAATGGGTTCAGTGTTTGACCGTAGAGCCACCATATCGAGGTCCAAATTTTCCAAGCTTATATTAGTGAAGAGAGCTTCTCTTTTTTTTATTACTTTGTAAAATATGTTTCCGTATGATCACGTACTGAAACTAACCCCTAAACACTAAACCCTAGCATTCCTCTCATGGTAGCTGGAGCTTCAGTATATTAAAGGTGACCTAAAAACCTCGGTAGATCATCTCTTACGCGGGAGTCAATTATAACTCGGTTAGGCTTACGACAGCCCTCATGCCTTGCCCGAATATTTGCAACAAGGTAGCTAACGTGGTTAAATATAGCCTACACAATTTGATAATAAGCAAATGTGGGCACCATGGTGGGGCAATATTTGTACTAATGGCCAGTCAAAGCAAGCAGGTTTTAGTATTTACTCATACTGCTTAATTTTGTGAAATACGGTTCATCATTCAACCCAACGTTTTTGCTTTAAACAATGTTTGCTCAACACAATGCCAGGACAACCCCATAAATTCAAACAGACAAAATGCAAAAAAAAAATATATTATATGAGCAACCTTACTGGTTGAGAGTCGAGACCCGTAACAGGGCTTACAATTGGTCCTGCCCAGTGACATGATAGTGTGTTATCTTCAGCAGTGACCTTGTGACAATAACTTCCGATACAAGCCAGATTGCTACTTTGCTGCTCTTTAGTATTATTTCCCTTAATGTTCTCGGCAGTTGATCTGTCGAACAATGCCTTCTACAAAAGATAGCTTGCACACAAACGACGCAAGCTGGTACCTAACTCTATGGGGACAATGAAGTTTCAAAAGGAAATTGACACCTATGCTTGAGGTGAAATTTGTATGCTTCAGACTCAGAAAATAGAGAAACCTGAAGTTAAAACTTCACTGTATTTTTTCTCAGTTTCACTTTTTAGCTGGAATCGCTGTTCGAGGAAAGCATATAATTTCACGTTCTGATAGCGTAAAAAGTTAATTCATAAATGTCCTGAACTAAAATTTCATGAGGAGAAAAATAAAACTCAGTCTAAAAAAAATAAAAAAAACTCGGTCTTTCGTGATAAAAATTTTGTGAATTTTGATTTTTGATTTTTGGGTGTTATAGTGCTTTGTTGTTCTTCTAGAATTGATTTTTCTGCAATTTGTACCTTAACTTGTACGAAGCCACTCTACTTCACATTAAAACACACTATTTCCGGATTTTAAATATAATTTTTTTTAAACATTTCATAATGAAGTCACTTGTTTTCTGGAGCTTGACAAGCGTAGGATGCTGTATAATTGGCCTATAAGGTTGAAACTTCAGAATTTAAAATTCCCAATAAAGCTTAATTCGTCCTGAAAATTTAAATAAATTTGAATGAAGGGATAAAAAGTTGACCCTCTCAGACTATACCCCCCCTTAAAGCATGGTTGAAGTGAATACATGCATAGATTTGAAATTTGCATATACATACATACCTTTGAGGTTTGCCCTTATGACGTTTTCAAGCGGGTAGTCAGTTTGATTCAAAGCTCTCACTTGTATTGTGGTATTCTTGCTGAAATTAAAATAATTTACGAGCAAATTAATTTGAAAACATATGCGCAGAAATCTAAGTGAGAGAAGGAGACGAGAGCGTGCGGGGACGTCAAAATGTCGAGCTCTGATTGGAAGGATTAGTGGGTAGACCTAAAGCAAGCTGACTTCGCCTAACGTAGACTGCGTAATCTGCCTTCTTCGGACGCTCTTTCTTCAGTATTTTTTAAAGAACACCTGCATCTTTCATGCAGGGAACTTTTCTGGAATGCAAGAGTAAAGGGGAAGAGAATGCAGAAGTTTGTTTAGGTAAAGTCGGGAGTAATTTATACGCTGAAATCCGAAAATGTGGACATCGTTCGTATCAACAATGTCCAGGATCTTGAAGAAAAAAAATGTGTTGGAGAACGGCAGTGACTTTCAATACGTGTAAGGACTTCGATGATTTGAAGCGGTTGTTCGTTACAGCCTACCATTCAATTGCTGTTCTGCACGTTAACATTCGAAGTTCGAGAAAGTACTGATTGAAGTTTGGCCTCGCATTAACGCTCTTGTTTTAACGGAATCTAACGAACCCGAAGGTTTGTGGGATCTTTACCAGTTATTGGGCTACAATTTCTTTTGATTTTCTCGTGAGTATTCAGTCGGAAGGGGGATCGTAGTACAAGCGAAAAGTGAATAACTGTGTCTCAAGTCAGGACGTAAATTTTTATTACGCAGAATGTATTTTTCTAGAAATTGAGAACTCTTTCTACTCTTTCAGTCTATTAGTTCGCTATAGACCTCCTTCTAAAAGATACAGGCAATGTCTTCATGAGCTCACCGCGAGCGTTTGAGCGAGTTGCAGTCAGGAATTATTTTTCATCGTAGAAGATTTGAACTATGATTTTCTGAAAGATTATAAGTCCGAGATTTGCGACTACTTCAATACTTGCTCGTGTTTATGTTCAAAGTGTTATCAGTGCATTAACCATAGAAGAGGTGGTTGGCGGTAGATTGGTGTCTTCGTGTATTGACCATATTTGTGTCAGGACGTTAGAAGCAACAGTGAAATCGGCAGTAACTTCGCAAAAAAATGGCTCACCATTTTTTTTGTTTTCGTGTCAAATAGTATGGCAGTCCACCCCGTCAGCGGCTGTGAAAAGGGATCAACAAATCGTTCGAAAGATTTTGGACAGATTGGCTTTGTCATACGATTGGAGCTCTTTTCTCCAATGGTATCGTTACTCCGCTGTTTACTCAACAATTCGTCAAGTCCACGACTCTTTCAAGGCGAAGGCACAGAGCGCTTTGTTTCTGATATGTTCAATTAGCTCACAGAGTCAGTCTTCCTTCCTTTTGGCTTCCAGTACAAGAAAGAAAATTCCTCTGCTCCTCTGTGTCGGACACAATATCGTATTGTTTTCGTTCGATTTTCGTTTTTCAACCAGCCTTTAATTCAGTGTTTTTATTGATGTTGATTATGTTTCCGAATCAGACTTGATAGAGCCAGGCAAAAGTCTTGTTGGACAGGACCCTACAGTTCGTGATCAAAAAGCGTCCCCACATGCGCAAAGGCCCAAGCTCAAACGTTCATCACATACATTGTGATACAAACGATGATGGTCACAAAAACATGCACATATACACCACAGTCACAAAGTTGCACTAATACATTGGAGTACTTGCTTAACTCTTTTTAGCGAGTCCACGGTGTAAACATCGTCCGGTGAGCTATTAAATATAGAGGGTGCATAAAAATTTCGAATACCTTTTCAGTACTTCGTCATAACAAGAGGCATTTCATAGCACTCGGTGTACCAATGCGATCTAGACACGACATGGGGGCACTTTGAAATTATGACGCCAGAAGTGTTCCAGTACAATGGTCTGAACCAATAAAGAGCTGAACAATGGCAAACCCATGACTGTTATAATCTCTTCGGTTTGCGACATTGAGCCGTTGACAATGCTTCTAAATATTCCCTTCAAAATTTTGTCTTTTTTTACTCCATTATACGGGGCTGTGCCTCAAAATGGTTATTCCGTAACGCAAAACACTGGATACTAAAGCGTGAGCTATTTTCTTTTTCGTTGAAGCAGGAGTTAGAGACCTGGAATTGTGCAGTAAACAAGATACGTTTCTCAGTCGTTTACGCTGATGCCATTGATACCAGATGCCTTGTTAGTTTTGAAACTAAAAAGCGAACTTCGTAGATTAAATTAAGATATTTAAGGCATTTTTCGTTTGCTTTCTGCTCTTTTTTTCGTTTACTTGGCCGCAAAGCCTGGCCTTATCGATTTTTTATGTTAATTTTTTGTGTGCAAATTTTGATTTACGTAAAGGTTTTTTGTTTGTTTTTTGTGCACGAGAGACTGTGCGAGATTAGACTTGTTTTATTTTTAATGCGGGTGTTGTCCTACAAGCCCCTGCCGACTTTGATCAGACCAGATAACACACTTGGAGAGAGCGCCATTTGTGAATAGCTTATTATTATTATTATGATTATTATTATTATGCAAACCTGCACTCGGCCTTGAATATGCTGATCCTTCGCAAATAAAATCGTATTATTATTATTATTAATATTATTATTATTATTTAGCTGGTGAGTGAAGTACTTACTATTTCTTTTTTTCCGAATCGTAAATCATTACGGTGTAGTTGGCAGTTTTGTTCGTTTTGTCTGTGATTTTTGCTGTTGCGGAGATACATATCTTATAAACGGGAGCGTGGGTGCGAAACAACAGAAAATACGTATTGTTTGACGTTTCTTCTAGGACCTGCAATCATGCAAACAACACATTTCTTATTTATTTCCTTAATATTACGAGAAGACGCATGGCCGGGCCAACTAAATACGGCACTTACTCAAATTTAAGCATTCGTATCCGGTCGACAGCAAAAATCAGGCGTTGCCTCACTTTAAGTCACAGAAAAGTAATTGTGTTCGTTTATAATGCATACCCTTCACTGAACGCTCTTACACAAAGAACAAATCGAACGCCTGTATCACTAACATTGGTTTCAACACGAATACAAAATAAATATGCAGGTGCCACTATATTACTTACAAGCCCGTATATTACTTACAAGCCCTACACAAGTAAACCTTCTCGGCATATCTTGGCGTTTGAGGTTTGTTTTTGACAAGATGCCGGTCAATGCAATTTGCAAATAAACCTCACTTTTGCTATCTCGAGATTTCTTTCTGAAGAACAAAGTAGTACTTCATACTCTACTCGACATGCCAACTACTTACTTACTCATTTCTGATGGTCTGTGTGCGCAATCATCATAGTTTTTGTCAGGAACACATTTATGTGCCAAGAACACGTGGTTATTTAAATCATCTTTAAACTCAGAAATTTGTTTAAGGCTCTCCCAAATCACTTATAGACGTGCCTATCGAGGATAAAAACACCGAAAAATACTTGCAGGGCGTACTTAAGACAATTTGGTGGTGCGTTTGCTTGTCATTTATATCTTGAAGGCGATTGGCATTTATTTATGTTGGCAAATTTTCAATCAGTAAATATATTTGTAGTACGATCAATAAATTGGACTGCATGAAGTTCACATAACCACGTAGACCGACACGAGAGGAATATACTCGAAAATACGCCATCTGTTGAGTCTGCGGAAACGGGCTTTTTTTTTCGCTGTTTGGCAGAGAGAAACACCGGTGCACTGGGTATGCCAAAAAGGACTGTGTGCTCACATAACAGATCTGAAGGCGAATAGGCTAAATATGTAGAAAAAAGGCGTATTTAAATGGTATTCTAAAAAATTCTATACACAACGCCTTATTGCAAAAAGAAATGCGTAGAGATGCATGCAGTATTCCAAATTAGATATAAATAGCGCGAAAGACACACAATATGTATATAATATAAATCATATTTGGACATCGGTTTGCACGAGCTCGTAACTTCGCAAAATACTGTCTCGGGAGGCTAAGGCTTTATTCGGTCTTACGTGCACTTTCTCTGGGCCCTAACTTCACAACATTGTATTTTATCAGTCAGGAGCGTTCTGACTTTTTACTAGGCTGCCGACGCCGCATATTATTGCGAGACCACTATATATACTGTAAAGCTTTACAATTTGGAAATTCACTTTTGCTAGTGATAAGAACGTCGCATTTCACCAGAAAACAGTACTGTTTATCTTGTAATGTGATGTCATCGCCATAAAATTATCGCGCAAAAAACTAAGACAGGACGGCACAGGGGGACAGGGCAGTCCCATTGTTCCTTCCTGTCCTTCCTGCTGCTTGTCATTGCGATTTGCTTTCGCTAAGACAATAAAATAGGGTGGTGCAAAATGCACGCTGCAGAAGGGTAGCGCTCAGTGCAAGATCATGCATTCGAGACACAAAATTAGTTCTTGCTTGGTGCTGCGTCATGAGGATCGGCGAGAGCGTCTGGCAACACGAAAACGCGCTTTCTGGCATCTCTTGGAGGGCTGTTTTCGCACGCAAAATAGTTTCCGGGATCACGCTGTCTGCTCTGTGCCGAAGATGCAATGCGGAGAAAACTTTAGAACACAGTATGTTTTTAAAACTCTTTCTCTCCCCCCCCCCCCCCTTTTTTTTTATAAGAGCGCTCTTAGGCGCTTTTTTTCGGGTTGAGCAGCGTCGGTGTGAGCACGCTATATTTAGCGGGAAACTTGAGGTCACTTTACCTTCTTAAACTTCAACTTCAACTTTATTATTTCTGTCCAGGGGGAGGAAAAAGAAAAAAACAGACTTTTGTCGCTTGACAGAGTTTCTCCACCCCACCAGCATCGAAAGAAACTATTTTACATACTAGTGACCCCTAGAACAAGGTTTACATAGGATCAAAACACAACATTGAACGAAACAAAACAAAAATCTGACGTGCATTACGAACATGTTTTTGCAGGTCGGAGGTCCCATCAATAATAGGCACAAATAACGTTAGAGAAACAATGAACTAATATCCTTTCTGCTCAAACTCATCAAGTCCGTGCCCAATCTATGTGTTTTGTTTATAACATTAGGCAACGAGTACTGCAACATCTGGAGGCCGTAGTCTGTTCTCGAGCGAGGCGTTGACCATGTGTCAACACAACGGCCTGCATATGTGGGCACTCTTCGCTTAATATTGGCGATTGATAGAAAAACAAGTTGATTTTACCTTACAGACGTTTGATATGTTAGAAGAAGTTTATAATTATAATGCTCTGAAACTGGAACTATATTAAGGTTTTGAAAAGTGGTAATGTGTGAGGGTTGAACTCCGGATTGCACACAATTTGAATTATTCTCTTCTGGAGAACATGCAAATGATGCATATTTGTAGCCGTTGTGCTACCCCAAACAAGGAAGCAGTAATTACAGCAAGGGTAAAAGAGGGAGTTATAAAGAGAATTTAGACCGAAAGGGGTATTATATGACGGGATTTATAAATAATGCGCACAACTTTTGAAAGTCTCCCAGCTATACATTGTGCTTCGGCGTCTCAGCTCATGCATTCATTAAATATCGCAGCAAGAACCTTCACACTTTATACAAAGTCAATATTTCGTCCTTAGAGAGAGAGCACTTGAGTAGACAAAAACACTGTAGTTTTGGATCGAAAAAGTATTGCTTTCGTCTTATCTGTATTAATTACTAAAGAGTTTGAGATTGTCCAGTCACTTATCTTCTGCAAAACACTATTTGCCGCACATAAAACCTGGTGGACAACTTTCCCCGAAAAGAATAAACTGGTATCGTCTACGTAAATTATAAAATCTGCGCTGTCGCCCACATTTACTATATCATTGATGTATAAGTTAAACAGAAAGGGTCCAAGGATGCTCTTCTGTGACACCCCTGAGGTCAGTTTCTTTAAGTTAGAGTGCTGACTATTGATCACGACACAATAATGCCGATATTTAAAAAAAAAATTAAAAAAAAAACTCTTCATCATTGTTGAGGCTACTCCTCGCACACTGTATGCGTTTAATTTTTGAAGCAGAGTTTTATGATTTACATGCTCGAAAGCCTTTGAAAAATCAATGAAGACCGCCCAGGGTATTCAAATTCCTTTCGATGTTGTTTAAAATTAGTTCCTTCTGTTTTAATAGCGCGAGTTCCATCAAATGCTCCCTCCTAAAACCAAACTGGTAAGATGTTAGGATAGTGTTTTTCGCAGAAGATGTATAATCTGGCATGTATTTTTTTCTCTAGCCCCTTTGAAAACACTGGGAGCGCAGAAAGAGGTCTATGATTTCCCAGGTGGTTTTTATCCCCAGCACCAATTCAATTCCCCGCTAAATTTACTGGAGAAATTCATTCTCTACTAGTTATAGCAGAAACATTGACGTCACACGACCTCAACACCAATTCAATTCCCCGCTAGAGTTAGCGGAGAATTGAATTTTTCAGGTCACGCGACGTAGATTTTCCCGCTAAATCTAGCGGAGAAACTGGATTTGTTCATAGGTGATGTGACACCAGGCCATGTGATGTCATTTGTCGCTCTAAATTTAGTGGGAAAACTGAATTGGAGGAGGAGAGGAGGGGATGGATGAGGAGGAGGATGAAAGGAGGAGGGGAGGAAAAGAGGGTATGCAAAAAGAGGAGGGGCATTCTCTCCCCTCCGTACCCTCCTCTCCTCCTCCTCGAGAGCTGCGTTCTAATTTCACATTAAAGAGATTTGTAAACAGGTTTAATTTTTTTTCTTCTTTTATCGATGGTCCTCCTGGGAATACTTTTTACTCCTGAGGAACTCCTTCCTCTGTTTGGGGTGTTATTTTGACAATTATAGTCGTGTCATTTGTTAACAGTGATCCTACATTTCTTTTATTTCACTCTCCAAGACGGTTGGTCAATGCTTCGGGAAGAATTTGAGAACGACACTCCTATGAGACTTTGAGCGGCTGCCAAGTTCGGCTGTCCCTCTGAAGCCACTGGGATTTTTCGGTTCAGGTAACCCTATTGAAAATTCCATCAAGCTACGTAATTTGGGACACTGAATACCAGTCAGCAGCCTTGGTGGAACGTGATGGACCATCAGACGTCATCTGATGGTCCATCAGATTACGTCTGACTGCCACTGCCAAGGGATTTTCATCAACAAGGGCAGCATTTATATAAGAGTAAAGCTATACGCACTCATAAATATCGCCAAATGCCTCGACAAAAAAAAATGTTCGAGAAAAAAAAAATGCAGGACCACCGCTCATCGAACTCGCGACTACATGCGTACAAATCGGACACTTTGACCCCTATGTTACGCCACCGTTACAGAAACTCGATTTGTCTACTCGTCTTAGCGCAGCTCTTAGGGGCCCGTTCCTGGCTTGAGCGGCGTCGGCGTCGCCGTCGCCGTCGTCGTCGCCGTCGGCGTCGCCGTCGGCGTAATTAAGGTCATCCCAAGGCCACTTGAACCCCAAGGTCATCCCAAGGCCACTTGAACCCCAAGGTCATCCCAAGGTCACGTGACCCCAAGGTCATCCCAAGGTCACGTGACCCCTCCCCAAGAATCATCGGGGGTCACGTGACTCCCCAAGGTCACCCCAAGGTCACGTGACCCCTTCCCCAGGGTCACGTGACACCCCAAGTCACGTGACCCCCGGGGGCCCCGTGACCCCCGATGACGTCATCAGTGACGTCACTGATAACGTCACCGGCATCCGCATCGCCATCGTCATCATCACTGATGACGTCACCGGCATCCACATCGTCATCGTCATCATCGCTGATGACGTCATCAGTGACGTCACTGATGACGTCACCGACATCCGCATCGTCATCATCGCTGATGACGCT